GGGCACGCCTGGGCCCCCAGGCGCGCCCAGGTGGGTTGTGCCCACCTCGGTGGCCTCCCGCACCTCCTCTTTACTCTATAAATTCACAAATATTCCAAAACCTTCGGGGTTAACCTAGATCATAAGTTCCGCCGCCACAAGGCTCTGTATCCACAAAAACCAATCCAGACCCCGTTCCGGCACCCTGCCGGAGGGGGAATCATCTCCGGTGGCCATCTTCATCATCCCGACGGCCATCACGATGAGGAGGGAGTAGTCCACCCTCAGGGCTGAGGGTTTGTACCAGTAGCTATGTGTTTAATCTCTCTCTCTCTCTCTCGTGATCTTGAGATGTCACGATCTTGATATATCATGGGCTTTGTTAACATAGATGGATCATATGATGTTTTCCCCCTCTCTACTTTTGTTGTGATGAATTGAATCTTTACCCTTTGAAGTTTTGTCTTGTCGGATTGAATGTTCAAATATGAAAACACATGATGTATGTCTTGCGGTATGAAATACCTGAGGTGACAAAGGGGTATCATATTGATTCACTTGACGTATGTTATGACACTCAACTTGTGGATTCTCGAGGTGACATTGGGGTAATCTATGCATAGGGGTTGATGCATGTTTTTATTATCTTTTCTCCGATAGAAACTTTGGGGGTCTCCTTATAATTCTTTGTGTGGAATGAATATTATGATCATGAAGTTGTTTGATGCATATCATAGAATTAACTCACGGATACTCGTGGTGACATTGGAGTATGTAGGTGACATTAGAGTTGGTTGATGTGTGTCATATGGTGTTATTTTAGTACGAACTCTTGATTAGATCGATCGAAAAGAATAGCTTGCATTATTTTACTACGAACTCTAGGATAGATTGATCGAAAAGAATAGCTTTGAGGTGGTTTTGTACCCTACAAACAATCTCTATCTTTTATTCTCCGCTAATAGGAACTCCGGAGTGATTCTTTATTGCACTTTGAGGGATAATCATATGATCAAACTATTTTAGCACTGTTGAGAGATTGCACTAGCGAAAGTACGAACCCTAGGCCTTATTTTCAAGCATTGCAATACCGTCTTTGTGCCCGTTTACTATTTTCTACCTTGCTGTTTTTATTTATTCAGATTATAAAAATATATTTTTATCATCCATATTACACTTTTATCACCATCTCTTCGCTGACTAGTGCACCTATAAAATTTGCCATTGTATTGGGTGTGTTGGGGACACAAGAGATTTCTTCGCTACAAAAAAAGATACATCCGTGACATTTTGGGCCGAACGGATTTTTTTCTATCATGCTTATGACACTTCTATGACGATAATTGTGACAAAATCAGGTATCATCATAGATGTGGTGGGCTCCTATTTTTATGACAAAAAAATCATGACATAAAATGGGCTTTTTGTCTGGGCGGGCCGGAGACGCAGCTGCGTGACATTCTCTGGGCCGTGCATGACGGAAAAAACCAAAGTTGAAGCAAGGGCGAGGAAAATATTGGGGAGTTTCCGGTTACGGTGGGTGGTCGGGGGCCAAGTGATGCGCATTTCTCTCGTACACATAGGCGCGTGGGTGCGAGGCATTGAGCTCTAACTGAACCCGAGCGAGGCGTTCTCCTACTGAACCCGAGCGATTGCACTGCAAGCTACGCGTTACTGAACCCGAGCGATCGATCGATGGCTGTTAACTGAACCCGATCG